TTCACTGCCAGTTCGATTCCCCGCCCCAGAGGTGATCCACATGGCATGGCAGACCTATCCTGTCTCGCCTGCTGCTCCCCTTAACAGAGTACTTCGTCCATCTGCCTTGCCTGTTCTGCTGCTCACTCTGTCTCTGGTGAAGACTTTCACTGCCCCTGCACCTCTGGCTTGTACCCCAGTTCTGTATGAATAAATTAATTTTAAAAAAAGAAATTTAAAACTAAATGGAGGAAAGAACTAACTAGCAGGCTTCCTTTCTAGCCCAGATTATTTCCTGTGAAGCAGTGAACATAATATCCCTTTTCATCCATACCCTTTTTAGCACGTTTTTATCTATTACAGAAAAACTAACTTTGAAGTTAAATAACGAATGTAGTAGAAGAGCTTGTAATAGCTTTGGAAGCTCACTGGAAATTCCAAAAGCAAACTATCAAGAATAAAAAAATCTAGTAATAGTACATACTGGACGTAAAAACAATAACAATATAAAGAGGTAATATTTATTGAGCATTTTACATTGTTCTAAGCATTTTTTTTTAAGTTTATTTGTTTATGCTTACAGACTGGGATACAGGCCAGAGGTATGGTGGGTGAGAGGACTCATCAGAGACAGAGTGGGGAACAGAACAGGCAGATCTACTGAAATACATTGCTGAGGGCAGCAGCAGGCGGATCAGGAGATCCGCTGACACCATGTGGGTCAGCTCCCTGGCCGGGGGATTCAACTCATGATGCATGAGTTGGATGTGGCTTCAGAGAACTTTATAGTGTGTTGTTTTAACCCACTGTACCACCAGGGAGAGCCCAGCATTTTCTATTTTTTAACTAATTTTTAAAAAAACACTGAGAGGCACTTAAGCTGAGGTTGGAGAGATTAAATAATTTATTCAAATTATTCAAGGTTAAGCAAATAGAAACTGAAAGTTTGAAATTTAGCACAAGTTGTCTAATTCGAAAGTCAAAGCCTTTAAACAGTAAGCAGTGATATCTAAAATTTTAGCTAAGAAAAATAGGAGCTAGTATGAAAAAGCAGAAAAATAACATTTCTCAACAGATTCTTGGCAGAACAAATAAAGTGCACCAGTATCAAATTAGTGGCATACATAAAAATCTATTCTGCCCGCGGGGATTACAATCGAGATGGAAAAAAAAAAGTGCAAAATGATGTAAAAATAAACTTTTGTAATAATTTTTAAAAAAATCTATTCTGATCACTTTTGATAATCAGATTTTTGTTTTTCATCCAACTGAAAATTTTCTTACTTTAACAATTAAATCTCAAAGTACGTCAAAAATAAATATGTTCTGGCCCTCCCTGGTGGCGCAGCGGGTTAAAGCACTGAGAATCTGAAGCCACTTCCGCATGAGTTCGATTCCCGCCTGCCCTGGAGGAGACCACATGGCGAGCCAGACCTCTCCTGACCCGCCCGCTGCTCCCCTCAGCAGTGTACTTCGTAGATCTGCCTGTTCTGCTCCCCACTCTGTCTCTGGTGAAGCCTCTCACCGCCCCTGAGTCTCTGGCCTGTACCCCAGTTCTGTATGCACAAATAAATAAATAAATCTTAAAAAAATAAATAAATAAAATAAATAAATAAATAAATAAATATGTTCTTTCATATACATGCCACAAGTTATTATAATTATTTAAAAGGATGCATCTTTAGAACTTTGACAATTCTAATTAAATTGGGAATAAACATTGTACCACTATTCTTAAGTAGTATGTTCTCAACATAGGCCTCCACAGGTATTTTCTATTATGCACAATAGCTATATATCATATTCTTGATTCAAGTTCCTAGGCTTCAGGTGAAATGGGAACTAACCATGAACACCATATATTTATCTTTTAATACATATTATCTCTCAAAAAGATTCCCAAGCTGAAAAACTCTAGAAATGGTATGAGGTACACATAACTTATTCAAATCAAACTGGCTGCAAAAAGTTAAAAGGTAATTTCCTCCCCTCTCCACACCAACCATTACATAGTAATAAAATGAAAGTTAAGAATAAATTCTAAGAGTTCCCATCATAAGGAGAAAAAACAGTATTTTTCTTAATATCTAAATGACATGATGATGGTAGTTAAATTTAATTGTGGTATTTACTTCACAGTATATGTAAGTCAAATCTTCATGCTTTATACTCTCAGCCTATACAATGTTTTTTTCTCAAAAAAAAAAACTGGGGGGGGGAATTAAATAAATTAATAAATTAAATAAAATAATAAATTGATGAAATAAGAAAGGTATTTACATTTCTTTGTCTTTTCTGCAGACCTGGCACAGGTTTCTTTGAGTACATTACATAAATGCCTTGTAGCATTATTTCTGAAACAAAAGAAAGAGTTTGACTATATATAATCTGACCTCAAAACCATATAGAAGTGATGAAACACATTTTTATGCTTTAAAAAATCTTAGGCATTGTATTCTGTATATCTCACTCATAATTTACTATAGAGAGAAAAATGAATTAACTGTGCTATTAGCAAAGATGATTTAGTAACCACCTCCTTTTAAAATTAAAAAGGAGGCCTCCTCAACCAAATTTCTACCCAAGTAGCTATCAATAGCTATTTAATAAATAGTTCCAGATTTACTTTAGGGGTAAAAATAAGAGGAGAGAATTGATCTTTTCACTTAACTAATTACGCAGACATATTCTAGCTGTCTTACATTCAAAACATAAGAAAGGTAGTTTTATAAGAAAGGTAGTTTTATGACTAGCCATTCATGTGAATAAGATCTCTGATAATCTCAACAAATGGAGAAAAAGTATGACAAAAGTCAACACCCATTTATGATAAAAATGCTCAGTAATGTGGCTATAAAAGAAACATACATATAGCCCACAGCTAACAACATACTCAGTGGTGAAAAGTTGAAAGCGTCTCCGGAATAAGGCAAGTATGCCCACAGTTATCACATTTACACACAGAGTTAGCTCACACACATTATCAAATAGCAGTTTCAGGGCTACAAGAGACATTAGATCTGTCTTAAAAGATTCTACAGGAATGCAATTACATACCCATAAATGTAACCAATAAGTACCAAACATACAGTTGTAACATCATGTTAGAATCTTCCTCCTTTTACTCCCTTCCCTCTAATAACCAAGCCTTATTTCAGGGGAAAAAATTAAGGTGAAGCATTCAAATTTTATCTGGAAAGTGAAAGTTTATATTTCAGCTGGACTAAAACAATTGAAATGGCATTTTTCTTTATCAGCCACTTCACTGATAGCCCTTCCAAAATTATGTAGCAAGATGTTTAACTTAAAATAGGAATAAATAAATATGACACTTTGCACACACTCACACATATTTACTTAGTAGATAAATTAATATCTTTCTATTAAGTTCTACATAATATAATTCTGACTGAGTTAAAGTCAGGCTTAGCTATCATTCAGAAAGGAAGTATCAAAGATGAGAATAAAGATTTAAACCAAAGTTAATGGAGGAAGCACTGGATCACTGGCAAAAACAAATTAAGAAAAGAGTTAGCTTGGAACTAAGTTGAGACCTACTTATAACTGCAGAACCTAAAATAATAGTCAAATAGAAAGTTTGAAAACACACATGGGCTATTGGAGACACAGGATTACCAGGTATTATACCTTCTATGATACCAAGGAATGGTTCCTCCTGCCTGACATTTTAAAAACTTAGTTAATAACTAAGTTGCCAAATATAAGAATGTAACGAATGTAAAAAAAATCAGTAGAACACTACATATAAATCAGTATTATTTAATAGAAATTATTCGTTATTTTAATAATTTGGAATAAAAATAAATTTGGAAAGAACAAATTCATTACTTACTCTTTTATTAAATCTTTATTTTCTTGAATTCCTTCTTCTAATTTCAGACTTACTTTTTCATTTTCAAACTAATTTACAAAAAAGAACAGTTTATCACATTCTGCTTAGTAAAGTAAACATGAGTATATTAATTAATTAAAATCATTACTTTGCTAACATTCCACAATGTTCTGTAAGAACTCTTTGCCAAAAAAAAGAACTTTTCAGTTTATAGATTTTCCATAAAAATACAGATCTCACTTTCATTAATCTAAAATCAAGTTTGCTGAATCAAATCCAAAAATCATCGGACAATATTTAAATTCGATATTATCTTCCTTAAATGTTTTGAAATAATGTTTTATCTGTCCTTATCCAATATTGCATTTTCTAAATATTTTACTCACTAAGCCCTTACACTGAAGCTAAAGTTTAAAATATAGCTTCATCATATCATATGCTAGTAGTAGGCATGTATGTTATAAAGAAAATATCATTAATTAGAATTAATGACTATAAATTAGAATCATTAAAACAGTACTTCTTTAACATCATTCGTTATTTTCCTAATCATTGTCTGATATATTATTTCCCTAATTCAGCTGCATTAAGCTTTGTTCAGCTTGCACCTATGCTCATCTAAAGGGGAAATACAGCTAATATCAATTAAACCTCAAAAAAATACCCTTAAAATTCACATCAGAGTAACAAAATAAATTAAATATATCATGATATAACATTACAAGACAGTATACTGTTTTTCAGTTCCTTATCATGTTATACCTGTAGTTCCTGAATGGCTTTTCTCTGGGCTTCAATTATCTTTCTATTTTCTTGCAATTTACTTTCTTTCTGTTTCAGTTCAGATTCTACATTTACTTTCCACTTTTTGATTTTTTCAGCCTCCTTATACAGTTTTGAATATAGTCTGCTCATTGGTTCTGAATTCTGTTAAAACATGTTTTCAAAGATTATTAAAAATTTTAATGTAACCAAGTACAGCTGCCTATGAAAATAGTCATAAATAATGCTTTAAAATTTGAGATGAGGCCCTCCCTGGTGGCAAAGCAGCTTAAAGCACAGCAGTAAGAAGCTAAAGCCACTTCAGCATGAGTTCAATACCTGCCCCGGAGGTGACCCACATAGGGCGGCAGACCTCTCCTGACCAGCCCGCTGCTCCCCTCAGCAGTGTACTTCATCTGTCAGCCTGTTCTGCTCCCCACTGTCTCTGGTGAATCCTCTCACTACCCCTGCACCTCTGGCCTGTACCCAAGTTCTGTATGCATAAATAAATAAATCTTTAAAAAAAAACTTGAGGTGAACACTTTCCTTAAGTTGATGCCCTAATAGCACACTGAAAGTTACATGTAGCTCTTTTTTTTTTTTTTATACAGAACTGGGGCACAGGCCAAAGATGCGGAGGGTGAGAGGATTCACCAGGAACAGAGTGGGGAGCAGAAGAGGCAGATCAACGAAGTGCACTGCTGAGGGGAGCAGCGGGCGGGTCAGGAGAGGTCTGCCTCCCCATGTGGATCTCCTCCGGGGCAGGCGGGGATTGAACTCTTGCGGAAGTGGCTTAAGCTTCTTAGTGCTGTGCTTTAACCCACTTAGCCACCAGGGAGGGCCACATGTAACTCTTTTAAAGTACTAAGAATGCACCTAAGTCAGACAGAAATATTTTAGTCAGAGAAAATTTGGTTGATTAAGAATTAAAATATAAATCTCTACAATAAATTTTACCAATGATCTTGAAACATTTTGATTATACAATTTGAGGACTCACTAAAAAATAGTGTTAAAATATAATGATAAAATAATGAATACAGATCTTTCATTTGGCCTGAAATTTTATTTGGATTTCCTGCATTATCCATTACCATATTGTAAAGTAAATGTCAGAGTTCAGTTTTTTGTTACACTGATTTCTGCTTGCTGATAGCTTTTCATATCAAAATATATTTTAAAGTCACTATGTTTTAGTTTTGTGATACTATAATCACAGCAATAAATATATAATATTATATCAGGTCATGAAATTTCTCTTCATTTTAAAGAACTTCTTGTACCATAAGTAAAAATGATTCTTATAACTAAAATCAAAAAGTTCAGTATGTCCTACAAATTCCATAGGCAGCAAACTAATCAATTTTATTTACTAGTTAAAGGACTGTTTATTAAATATTGGATTGATTCCCAGCCTTTACACAGACTTTAAATTGTCCCTAAAAAAATGGATACTTTTATAAACCAGGAAAATACTGAAATATAGAGTTTCAGCACATTTAAAAGAGAGAGAGAGGAGGACTCCCTGGTGGCACAAGGAGTTAAATCTCAGCACTGTGAAGCTATTAGCAGCCACTGAAATGCTTGGCAGACAAAGCAACAGGGCACTGGATCCCCTTCCAAGGAGCTGATCCAGGCCTCTCCAGTCTCATTCACAGCTCCCCTCCAAAGTCATCTGCCTGTTCTGCTCCCCACTCTGTCTCTGGTGAATCCTCTCACCCCCCAACCTC